AAAAAAAAAACCTTTGTATTAACCTTTTTTGCATTTTAGGTTGATTCAATGAACAACACGAATAAAAACAATAGAACAGAATTTGATTTATATTTCTTGATATCCTTTTCAAAAATATGAGTCGAGAACAACTGAATCTAGTCATGTCTTGTCACAGGACTTAGGTTTTAGTTTTCATCAATGCCAAAGTCTCATCAGACTCTGCACATCAGGTACAGTCTGGTAGGCCTGTCAGTCTACACTCATTTGGTTTGCATCCTGGTCTTTTATGTTGATAACATATTGATTATATTTACAATCAGCTTTGTTTGTAATATATTAAAATGTTTATTCAAACAAAATAAAATATTGTTTGTTTAAATATGATCAAATATGATTTTCTAAATTTTATGGTCAATTATTTCTTCATTTTTATTTTTAAAATATTTTTGCTAAATAAAATTTATCATATATTTATTATAAAGCAACAGCATAACTAGGGAAAAGGGAAACGATGTACTGGTTTGTCTTGGTCCCGAAATGTCTCCAACAGTGCCGAAATGTTTATTAAACATGGAGCCGATTCGTTTCCATGCCGGTGCCGAACTGTCTTGTTACCTTATATACAAAGCGCACCGCACCGCACCGTTGATTCCGATTGGTAAGACTGGTTTCTGAGAATAGTATGCCTTTTATCTGTTATAAAGTATCTGACAAAGAACCAGTTTTAAATTATCGATCGCAAGTAAACATGTCAAATTAAAATTTGTTTTTATCTTCTTTTCATGTTTTTTGTTTATTACTTTGATCATCAAAGTTGGATTTTATTTATTTTCTACAGAATGATTTTACTTGTCCCGTCGGACAAGCTTGGTATGGCTTTTACTTGTCCGACCTTTTTTTCCTCTGGTACCGGACAATCGGACAGGCGTTATTGTCGAGCCCTGTTTAACAGACTAAATTTTTGCTGTATTCATGGTGGCAAAAAATTCCAAACAAATTCGACAGGAAAAAGGCATAATACAAGGTATTTGTTTTAAATTTTTAGTTTTAAATCGAATTTGCCGCGTTTCTTTCATTAGTCAAGTTTATTTTTTTATGTCGAATACTTCTAGTTTTTCTATTGTAAACCTTTCATGATATTATAAGTTATCTACGTTCATATCCGTAGATATGGGTATTTTAACACCCTGAAGTACCTCAGTACGCCCTGAGGCGCAGCCGAAGGGTGTACAGGGTACTGAAGGGTGTTAAAATACCCATATCTACGGATATGAACGTAGATAACGAATTTATCCCCGGTCTTAGTCCGAATCGGGCGATTTTTAGGGAAATTCGGGTACAAAGTATAACGTGAAAACAACGTTTTTTTCATTATCTAAAAGAGTTTGATTGAAATTTGGAAATTTGACATAATTCTTACGGGGTGTAGGGTACTACCTTTGGTAGAACCATACAGGTAGTCAAATATAAGACGTTTTTAATCCAGAGACAGAGAAACTGAATAAATTCATATTTGGCGGTTAATGTCGCGAGCGTTACGTCATAGACGATGTGACGTCAACGTGGGTCATTTGCATAACTAGGTCAATAGTGCCTTTCATTGACGACGTGGTGGCCAAGTGATGCATTTACTAAAATCAATGTCAATGATCGGAATAATAGGATACAATCGTTAGAGGATTACATATTTAATTACAGATATTCATGGATAATCAACAGAGTTTAATTTTTTTCACTGGAACAACACGAAATTAAGGAAAATAGACTGTTATTGTTCTGAAATTGAATGGCTAAAAAAACGTGGATCAACTCAATATTCATTACATACGGACGTGAAAGTTATTTATTTGTTGTTCATGTTTATGTTGATGGATCCAATGTAACAACCATGGAATACTGGCATTTGTGGAACAGTGTCATAGTTGCTGAACAACTCATTAAAGTTTATACCAGAGAGTTGATTTCTAAACTCTGTCATTTGCGTTACTTGTGAAGTGGACGCCACCATTGTTGAGGATCTAGCCGGAGTGGGAAGTGCCAACGGTTGAACAGGTGAAGGTAATGTTAGTTGTTGATTTGGGGCAGGTAAGGCATTTGCATCAGGATCTCTTCCATTCATTGCAGCATCAATCATTTGTCCCATTTGAAATTTTGCCTTGTCGGAAGTTCTTTGATATATTGCCAAACTCGAGACACTTTTGTGGCCAGTGACAGACATGATTTGAGCATCAGCAAAGTAGCTGCTTTCTGTTAGAATAGTTGCACCGGTCGCTCGGATTGAATGGTTAGTGTAAACTTGTGATAACGAACAAAGTTTACTTAACTTATTCATAAATTGAGCCAAAGTGTCACGACCAACTGGAGAATTACAATACCAAGAAGCAGAATCTTCATAAAAGGATCCCAGTGGTCTTTGCCATAACCTGTTGCATTTAGGATGCAATTTTGAAATGTATTTCTGAAAAGCTGCCACTGGACAAGACGGACTATCAGGTTGCTCTGGCATAATTGCAGTGACATTTTCCTTGTCATTGAAGCGGTGATTCTTGGTAAGTTCGTCCATTTCTTTTGTAACGTACTTTGTTTTTGTTTTTGGATCTGTTTTGACGATAAAAGTGTCTTTTGTCATCTTATCCATATTTTCAGCCCCTCGTCTAAAGAAGTACATTCTTATGTCAAATTGTACTTTATTTAATAAACCAGTAGGGGAGCTTGGTTGCATGAAAGTTGAAGAGTACAATTTTGTCCTGTCAATTTCTGATATTATTGGAAAGTGCTGTGTGGCTCCTTTTCCGTTGGCTTTTAATTCTGTAAGGGCTGTTTTAAATACTTGATTTGATTCATTAAAGTCTTCATGCTTCATTATGTCAAATTCCTTTAAAAAGGGGGGAGCCTTAAGATATCTATTCAGAGAGTACCGGAATGAATCAAGCGAATTGACTTTATACATTTCTCCATCAGGTTTACGGGCGTCAAGATAAAAATGTTTCAGAACATCATTTAGCCGACTAGGACTATACTGTTCAAAGTGTGTGTCTTCATTTTTCTCAGAGAGATATTCTCGTAGCAAATTACCAGCCCTTTTGTTTGCTTTTTCTGTTGATGACGCAATGTTTTTAGATCTTTTGTCAAGAATTTCATTCTCCGTGTGGGAAGCAAAACGCTTTGCCATTTTCAATATGGACGCCGTCAGCGTATAAACGCGCGTGCCGTCCCCCGGGTAAATGGATAGCAACGTCCGGGGATATGGGTTAGCAACACCCAGGGGCTATGGGTTTTGTAACGACGTGCGTTAACCAATCAAAATCCTAGAAATATACTAAGCCGGGGATAAAAAGGATATGTCTACTTCCAGTACTTTCCAAATGGAATGTCCTTTCCACTTTAAACTTGGCGTGACTAAAGATGGACAAAAATTGGTTTAATTTGACATTATTACTTGCTTCTTTAATTTTTATATAGACATCCAAGCTTTAATTTTAGTAGTTTAAGATATTTTAAAATTTCAGTTTCTGTTTTACATTTTATTAAAAGATTATTTTTAAATCTCATATGGGTATTTTTCAAGTTCAGTAAAATTTAATTCTTTAAATTTGCATTTACATGTTTTAATAGTTTTAATTTTTATCATGTTTTTCTTTTACAGGGACTGTACAGTTTCATTTTCCATCAGTGTGCATTTAATTTGCAATGTTTATTATGTATTATTATCTAATAAATACAATTTGGAATATTATTTTTCATACTCTTCACTCGTTCTACACGAAATCCCCATACTATCGATAATTTCAGTTTAGATTTCACGTTTCATTCCCAATCCGATGGCATTTTATTATAAAACCAGATGTGGGTACGCATAGCCTACGAATGGCAATTTGACTATTCGTACTCACATGCGGGTACGCGCAGACACTGCCTTAACTTTTTGGTTGCCTAATACAAGATTTACTTAATTTTTTCTGTTTTATATGTTATACCAGGATTGGCAGGAATAATTAGATATGTCCAAAAATATGTCCTAAAAACAACACATCAGCATTTGTAACCCCTACATGAGAATGGTTACAATAGGTAACAAATGATAACCAAGCAAATGCTGAGTTACAATATGGTTGCATTGGTTGAAAATGTTAAATTTACTTTTATCATTTTTTATAAAAACTTTTAAAGCAAATGCTACATGGGTAACAATGGTAACATGGTTAAAATGGTAACATGGGTTACAATGGTTACATTGGTTACACTGGTAACATGGGTTACATTGGTAACGTGGGTTACACTGGTTACATGGGTTACAATAGTAACATGGGTTACAATGGTAACATGGGTTTCAATGGTAACATTGGTTATACTGGTTACATGGGTAACAATGGTTACATGGGTTTCAATGGTAACATGGGTCACAATGGTTATATGGGTTGCAATGGTAACATGGGTTACATGGGTTACAATGGTAACATTGGTTATACTGTAGTGTTAATATAGTGTAACCATTGTAACCGTGTAACTGGTCTTGAGAATGACAAAAGATGCAAAAGTGAATGTAACCATTGTAACCAATGTAACCTATGTAACCATTGTAACCTATGTAACCAATGTAACCTATGTAACCATTGTAACTCAGAAATTTCCAGAATCTAATTTAAAGTATAAACCAGTGTTACTACATGTATAGTGTAACCATTGTTACTGTGTAACTGAAGATTGAAGCCTGTTTTAACTTTATGAATAATAATACTTCAAAAAAATATTGAAAGTGAATGTAACCAATGTAACTCAGAAATTTCTAGATTTTAATTCAAAGTGAGAAAAAAAAAAAGCTTGTAAAAAGAGAATGTAACCAAACTCTGTACCTTACATATATAAAAAACTTAACATGGTGAATGCTACTGTTGTCACCAGTGTAACCATTCTCCTGTAGCAGTTACAAATTCTGACATGATGTTGATTTTAGGACATATTTCTAGACCTATATGGGAATAATATATATTGACAGATATACTGTTCCCGAGTTATACCTTCATATCTAAATTGGAACTAAGATCTGCATACATCAATTTTGACACATTCATGTATCTTATCATATTGCCTGAGAGTAAAATACTCTTTAAACAGCAGGATATTGGGCATAAATTGCGGTCAAACACTTTCGGCGTTTCACCGGTCTCCATATTGTTTATATCTTTGCTCCTGAAGATTGTTACGAAAACCCAGGGAGTGAACCCGAATAAGTTTTGAAAACTTGGTAAAAAAGCACCTAAAACCAAGAGACAAACAAACACACACACACTTGTGATAAAAAACATACCTAAAATCAATATATGTTATGTTATGTTATGTTATGTTATGTTATGTTATGTTATGTTATGTTATGTTATGTTATGTTATGTTATGTTATGTTATGTTATGTCATTTCTTGGTTATGTCATGTCCATGTCATGTCAGTGAATACTATGTTATGCTGTGCTATGTCATATGGATGCTATCACGAGTTGGTTGGTCGTTACGGAATATCTGTTTCACATTTTCCAATTGACAGAGACATTTTCCTTAAATGTGACATACCGAATTACTGAGTTATTTAGACTTATTACCAGGTTTGAAATTACATTAGCAACACGGGACAGGATCAGCTTACCCTTCTGGAAACACATGAGATCATCACTTGGCTTTTTATGGGGTCTTTAGTTTTCTATTTTGTGTTTTGTATACTGTTGCCGTTTGGTTGTGTTTTGTTTTTTTGCCATTGCATTGTTAGTAAGTTTTCACATGCGTTTGATTTATGCCTTTGGTATCTTTTTTCTCTCTTTTTTATGTTAAACATTTGTGATGTGATGTGATGTGATGTGATGTGATGTGATGTGATGTGATGTGATGTGATGTGATGTGATGTGATGTGATGTGATGTGATGTGATGTGATGTGATGTGATGTGATGTGATGTGATGTGATGTGATGTGATGTGATGTGATGTGATGTGATGTGATGTGATGTGATGTGATGTGATGTGATGTGATGTGATGCAAAGCGTGTGACTCTTGATAATATTCCTTCTGGTATGACAGGCAGTCTGTTCATTTCCCTGTATCCATGTTGTAGTGATGTGATTGATAAATTCAATCAGTTATATTTTACAGGATATGCCTCTCCTTAATCCATGTTGAAGGAGAAACAGTATATTGTGTTTGTTAGAATGGTTCATTATGTGGCTTGTTAAAATATGTTCCAAATAGTTTTCCCTTCTTTAAAAAATATTGGACATACATTTAGTATCCTCCATAAACCTGGTTATTCACCTGTTTCATTTGATCGCTTTAAGGTTAAATTTCTGTCAGTACCTTTGATGTAATGGTGTCTGGAACAGAGAAATACACTTGAAAAATTATTATTTTTAAATCCGCCAATTTTGATACAAGATCGGAACAGTTGAGTTGGTTATAGGTAATTGCATTTTATTTTTATCATGTTTTTTAACATGTTGAATTCTATTAACAAATGCTAAAAATGAATGAAAAGAATATCAAAACAAGCAACAAATTTTCCTGAAACATGAAAAAATGAGCATAATGTATTATCGACTAATCTATGACATACATTTATTCAGTCCTGATTAACATTCTGCTAAAATGGCTACCGACGTGTTCGGTGACCTATCTCTATTCGACGAATTTGAAAAGGACAGAAATTCTAGCGCGTCATTTATAAAATATGATGTCACAAATGAAGGGCAAGAAGACAAGAGTAAAATATTGTTTAAAGTTGGAGCGTCTGATGATGAATCTTCATCAGAATCCATCAGTGAATCTGAATCAGAAAGTGAAACTGAAACCGAAAATAGAGATGTCGACATTGTAAATAAAACTGACTGTGAGAATGTTGAGCAAATAAACACAACAAATGAAAAAGTGGAATCTAAAAAGATTACTTCATTTAAACTACAACATGAGCGTATCCTTTAAATGCATAGATAGGTTGGGACCAATTACCCAAATTCGATATGATAGCCTGCTTTGACTTTGTTTTAAAAATTGATTTTGTTTGTTTAATTTATATTTTGTGCACATTCAAGACAACAACAAATATATATAAATCCAGTCGGTAGGATCTGCAAAGGATGTCATTTAGCATATTTAGTATTTAAATATGATAAAGGCGGGAAATTTATTTTGACACGGGCACTGGAAATAAATTGCCGATCAGCCTTAAACGCTAAATTTTACCAAATGTCCTACAGAATGTATTATAATCACCCATTGAACAGAACTCTAACAATCTGTAAATGATAAAAAAAAGCGCCTATAGTTTAGCATTATGAATTTATGTGCTGTTTTTTACCCATACTCATTTGACATCAGAAGATTATTTTTTGTTGCCTCACAGTATACAATTTCCTATGTACATGTAACAATATAGCGGTCAGGCCTAGAAAAATTGTACATTTCAGCCTATCCAAATAACCTTATGAACCTAATCATTTTTGCTAATTGATAGTGCTTACCATGCTTACCCTAAAATATTGTTTTAGTTGAAACAAAACATAATCCGATAGCATATCTGTCCCAAATCTATACATTTTCCAGAGATGCTAAAGAAAATGCAGACACTATTCATGGAGATGAAAGCAATGTTCTGATTTGTTTACTAAATATACATGTATGTAAAAAAATATATTTGAATTTTAAGCCCCTATAATTACATGCAAAACAAAGTATGTATTATATATGAACTGTTATTTTCTCTGTAGCTATGTACTAATTTGCATGATTTATGAGAATAAAATCATTCATTCATTCAAGAGTGATTAAATAGCTGTTAATTGCCCTAGAGATAACAATACAAGTGTGTAGATCCCAAGCTGAGCATTATGTGCATAGAAACTTGAGATATGCAGTTCTGTTCTGTTCTGTACAGGTATTTTCCTCCGTTATATATCGGAGCACTCCCACTTGGGATATATAGGTTTATTGCTTAATCAAATATTTACACATAAATTTACACAGTGTGGTGGGTGCTTAGGTTTAAAACTTTGTATACAGGTGAGATTGTGAATTTTAAAAACAAGTGTTTAATATTAAGTGCTATTTACATCATTTATAATTCTACCTAGGTTTAAATTTTTGATTTTAAAAACTTTTGATTCCTTTTAATGAGACAATGGGGTGTTAAAGTTAAAGCCAGCCAAAATTAATTTGGATAATTAAATGTTTCAACTTGACAGCTTGAATATCAAATACACTCTTACATGTAATTAACTTTTCCTCCTTTATCTTTAGGTAATATAGATTTATATAAAAATTCAGATAATTATGTAGAGTTACTTCCCTTATCCTGCTTATTTTTTAAATTGTACTTCTGAAAATCATGTTTAATGATAAACATATATAGTAATAAACATTTATTTAAATATAAGAGATATTGAAGAAAGGTTCTTAATTGATTTTAATTTTGCAAACAAGTGCTGTAATAATATATGAACATTATTTAAGAAATCTGTCACCGAGGGCCAGTGTGGCATGCTTTTTGCTAGGGGGGACTAACTTTGCATGCCTGACCCAAGGGACAAGGGGTCAGTCTATAAATAGACTTACGACAGACAAGTGGCAAAGTTAATACTCTAAAACGTTTAACAATTTAATAAATAACAATATTTATATATATGCCAAAGATAATTCCAAATAATTAAAACAAACGCACTAAAGAATTTAAATGTCACTGTTCTTAAGAATTGTCTAATCACTTTTGTAGAATCACTAGCTGGAATTGTCCGAAATAGGAATTTGCAGAATAACTGATTTTAAGGTTGAGAATGTCTGAATCACTAATATGGAAATGTTCTGATCGATGAGTAGGTTGGTTGATTTGAATTGTCCAAAGTTGTTTAGATGTTAGAGTCACTTAGTTGAAACGGTATCTTGAGTTGAAGGTCTTGAGCCGTTGAGCTGTTAGTCTGTCCCATGTTGTCTGGTGGAGGCGTACAATGAATCCAGTTGATTGGTGGCCAATCTTGTTATAACTGAAAATTGATTGCATAGCCAAGACTGGATACAGACGCTACTCTGTAGGTTCACTCCAAACTCCTTCCACACTGTTGTTAACTGTAACTGTACCAGTTGTTGTATAGTTAAGTTGAGTCTGTTCCAGTTGTTGGGTCTTAAAACACATCCTTGATAGCTAATGAATATCCTGAGTTGCCGCGCCGGTTAGATACTGAAGAGCGAACTGTTTGGTCACAGTTGTGAAGCTGACTTCTTTTCTCCTACTTGGCTTGTAGGTACTCTGTTCCTGGAATTCACTTACTGTCGTTACTGGATGGTCACCTAAGTGACTATGATGTTACTTGTCCCTACATGCTGATTTTTTGGTGACTCTGTAGTGACTTTTTCCCTACTGTAACTGTGACTGTGACTAATAGTGAAGTATCAAAATTTCTACGAACTATTTATACCAAAACTGAAAAGAACTCAAGCTGAGACATAAATTTCAAATTAATCCGAGTAATAATGATTTTGTATATAAAATGCCAAATGTAAAAATATGAATAGTGAAATTAAGATCAAATGCAATTAAAGGATTAAACTCTAATTATCAAATGACATCTGTCTACCTAATTACTAAATTAACAATAACTATGAAAAAGAGAAATACTCAAAGACATGTGTGACATATACAAATGTTTCTAATTAGCCATAGGTAATTTAATTAAAGTACCATTAAATTAGAAAACTGAAAAATAAACTTAATTCCTTAATAAAGCAAACTTTTGATTATGAACAAATAATTCTAAAATTATCTAACATACAGAAAAATGTATATGAAATACTGAAAAATACTTTAAAAACACTGGGAGGAAAATGCACCTATGACAAATCTGTAAGACTACTACAAACCAAATGTACGTAACTTCTTAAAAAAAAGATGCCTATGAAACCTATTTGATATTTTGCCTTTCTTTTTGACATAACATGATGAACAAGTGCTTTAATCATGTTAATAATTTATGAACATTATTTAAGAAATCTGTCATGTCTGTAAGACTACTACAAACCAAATGTACGTAACTTCTTAAAAAAAAAAGATGTCTATGAAACCTATTTGATATTTTACCTTTCATTATGACATAACATGATGAAGCATTATAGTAGCCTCACAAATATTTTCAATGATACATATATATTTAAAAATAAATATAAATAAATAATGCTTTGTTAAAATTGATAGTGGAAATTATTTTTAACATTGCACCACAATAAAACTGAATGTAACATTTTTCAGAGTACTTAAGTTATATGTAATTACAGCATACATGTACTAATGCTCAGTGAATAGTGTAATTTCCTTTAATCTTACATCAGTCGCTCCCTCTTTAAATATATTTCTGAAGCCTAAACATGATTTGATATAAAAAAAAAGTTTAAAAAGATTTCTGAAAATATACCAAATATTTAACTAATTTTAGACCTATTATTTCCAATCTGATGCACATTTTTGATCATGCATTGAAACCTGTTATAATAAGTTTGTATTGAAATATAAAGTTCTGTTGTGCAGTGTTCAGGCCTTTGAGTGCCTTATACTTGATAAACAGAACATTGAGGAACATAAACTAAAGATATTCATCAACATTGGAAATACTTTCTGAAAAAATGAGGGGTTTCTGGAATTTCATTTAAATTCAGTAATTGATTTATTGGATCAAATACAATACATCAACTTCTGCTAAAATAAACAATGACAAAATTTTGGGAAAATAAAAGTTTATATAAAATGATTAATTCAAAATTTAAATCTGCTTTGATATGATCATGATGATGTGGAAATCATTACTGAAAAATGATTTTTGTATATATCTCATTTTTTTGAAACAATTTATTTACATCTGCTTTATCATGTTTATGACATAAATTTATAAGAAAACATTGACCCAGGCTAAAAGCAGAATACCAGTAAAGTTCTATTGATGCATGACCAGATTTTAGTATAAATTTATTTTTTATTTTGACTTTGCCTTAACACTGAACAGGAAATAAATACAAGAGATTTGCTGATTTGATAGATTCTACAAGGTAAGTATTAAACAAATTTATGTATTTTTTTTCTGATTTTCCTATTTGTTTATTTTTTGATAATCAATATGCACATAATTTTGTTTCCCTGGTCTCACTTTTCCATTGGTCAAAACTCAATAATGACATACAATTTTCTGTTATGTGATGTAACAGAAAAATGTGATTAATCATCATGTGCTTGGAAATATCTTTTTTAATAATTTTTTATGCTGAGATGAACATTTAAGTACAATGTAAATGATGTACATGCTGTAAATATTGTGCAGCACTTTAACTATAAATATTGTGACCATTCTGTGTTGGCCTTTCTGGTCAGTCAGATGGTCCACTTGTGCAAGTCAGAATCAATCTAAATAGTTAAAACATGAAATAAGAGTCAAATTGATAAGTGTTATCTCTGTTTACCATGTCCAATTCAAAAATCTATAGACTATGTTTTTTAATGATTACCTCCCTTTTTGAACAAATTATTTTTGCAATCTTACCTATTGATGTAAGAACTAAAACTTCAGTGTGAACTTCCATGTGACAAGAACAACAGTTATTGGGAAGTGAATACCAACAAGGGAAATTTAATTCATCATTTATTCTTTTATTGAACAAAAATATACTGTGTTTTTGCAGTCAAGGTCAACTAGGGCAATGCATTTTTAGTCTATAAATACACATGTATGTGTAATTGACAAGCACAAATTTTGAAAAATTATGTACTTCTCAGGGTTTCTTTTTCATGTTTGTCAGAAATACAGGCACACTCTTCTGTTGTCTAACAGGGTTCTTTGTGGTGACATCTCTAAAGGACAAGGAATTAATTGAATCTGGAATAATTATGGATAATTGATAAGAAATTTATGATGAAAACTGACCCAATTGAGGAGGGTTAGCCATGCATGGCTAAGGTAGGTTATTTAGTTCATACTGAAATGAAAGTAACGTGAATTAACCCTCTTAGTTTGGTTAGTTTTCATCATACATTTCTTATCAATTTCCCGGAATTCAAAATTATTCCAGATTCAAATAATTCCATGTTAACGTATATAAGTAGTATATTCAAGTGATGGATATTGTTAGTTGTACAAGTATCACTGTATACACAAGTAAGATTGATCCTGACTTGTTCAAGTGATGGATATTGTTAGATGTACAAGTATCACTGTATACACAAGTAAGATTGATCCTGACTTGTTCAAGTGATCCATATTGTTAGTTTTACAAGTATCACTTAATACACAAGTAAGATTGATCCTGACTTGTTCAAGTGATCCATATTGTTAGTTGTACAAGTATCACTTTATACACAAGTAAGATTGATCCTGACTTGTTCAAGTGATCCATATTGTTAGTTGTACAAGTGTCACTGTATACACAAGTAAGATTGATCCTGACTTGTTCAAGTGATCCATATTGTTAGTTGTACAAGTGTCACTGTATACACAAGTAAGATTGATCCTGACTTGTTCAAGTGATCCATATTGTTAGTTGTACACGTGTCACTGTATACACAAGTAAGAGTTCAAGTGATCCATATTGTTAGTTGTACAAGTATCACTGTATACACAAGTAAGATTGATCCTGACTTGTTCAAGTGATCCATATTGTTAGTTGTACAAGTATCACTGTATACACAAGTAAGATTGATCCTGACTTGTTCAAGTGATCCATATTGTTAGTTTATACAAGTGTCACTGTATACACAAGTAAGATTGATCCTGACTTGTTCAAGTGATCCATATTGTTAGTTGTACAATTATCACTGTATACACAAGTAAGATTGATCCTGACTTGTTCAAGTGATCCATATTGTTAGTTGTACAAGTATCACTGTATACACAAGTAAGATTGATCCTGACTTGTTCAAGTGATCCATATTGTTAGTTGTACAAGTATCACTGTATACACAAGTAAGATTGATCCTGACTTGTTCAAGTGATCCATATTGTTAGTTGTACAAGTATCACTTTATACACAAGTAAGATTGATCCTGACTTGTTCAAGTGATGGATATTGTAAGTTGTACAAGTATCACTTTATACACAAGTAAGATTGATCCTGACTTGTTCAAGTGATGGATATTGTAAGTTGTACAAGTATCACTGTATACACAAGTAAGATTGATCCGGACTTGTTCAAGTGATCCATATTGTTAGTTGTACAAGTATCACTGTATACACAAGTAAGATTGATCCTGACTTGTTCAAGTGATCCATATTGTTAGTTGTACAAGTATCACTGTATACACAAGTAAGATTGATCCTGACTTGTTCAAGTGATCCATATTGTTAGTTGTACAAGTGTCACTGTATACACAAGTAAGATTGATCCTGACTTGTTCAAGTGATCCATATTGTTAGTTGTACAAGTGTCACTGTATACACAAGTAAGATTGATCCTGACTTGTTCAAGTGATCCATATTGTTAGTTGTACAAGTATCACTTTATACACAAGTAAGATTGATCCTGACTTGTTCAAGTGATCCATATTGTTAGTTGTACAAGTATCACTGTATACACAAGTAAGATTGATCCTGACTTGTTCAAGTGGATCCCCTCCTGTTGGTTTTTATGCTTTGTATCGTTTCATATTTTTTGGCTTTCCAATCTTTCTGTCTCTTGGGTATTCCAGAAACAGAATAGACAATGACCAAAAATGACATTATGTCACATAAGACAAACATGGTCCAGATTGAACATGCTGAAGATAGGCAGATACTTGTTATTAAGACAATGACGAAAACAGACATATGACAATCTTGGTTGGAAAATATAATAGAAACTTGTATTGATAAAATAAACTTGAGTAAAAATGGAGGTAAACTCAGGTAAAACAAACTTGAGTAAAAATGGAGGTAATCTCAGGTAAAATAAACGGTTAAAAATGGAGATAAACCCAGGTAAAATAAACTTGAGTAAAAATGGAGGTAATCTCAGGTAAAATAAACGAGTAAAAATGGAGGTAATCTCAGGTAAAATGAACGAGTAATAATGGAGGTAAACTCAGGTAAAATAAACTTGAGTAAAAATTGAGGTAAACTCAGGTAAAATAAACTTGAGTAAAAATGGAGGTAAACTCAGGTACTTAATGGCACCCACTGTCTTAGTCATTCTAAATTACATTGGGTCATATTGATTCTGTTTTCATTAATTGCAGAATATGATCACCATCACCTGTCTATAATAATGTTGTGACTTTTATATTTTAAGGAAAGTTCAAGACACTGATAGCCCTGCTTGTCAAATCCTCTTTCATAATAATAAATTTTCAAGGTAAGTTGAATTGATTCGAAAAACAAAAACAGTAGATTCCTATTTTGTCTCCCGTGCAATGAAGGACGCAAAGGGGAGAAATAGCAATCATACAGTCCATTGTTTGGGTTGATCTGTATTGTCGACAATTAGGTTCAGTCTGTGGTTAAACTTTCTTTTAACATACTCTTAATGGAGTTCTAAAAAATTCTTCCGTGTCAAGAAACAGCATCTAGAGCAAAATTTTGAACAATTTTTTTGATTTTCCCATATTAACTTGATAAATGGACTTAGTTTGTTTATTGTTTTTCTTTGCACTAAGATTTAAGAGACAGCCTTGGGTTAAATACATTAATAACTTTAGCGTCAGTTGCAGACAAGAAACCCTTTACCATCTAAAAAATACTGCGTTTTAAGAATCCCATTAATTTAAATAACTGGTACGTAAAGTAGTTAATTTGATTCTATCTATAACAAATGACATTTCTGGTTCTGTAGTATAAGTAAAAGTTGAAACACATTCAAGTTTTGCTCTGGTTCTGTAGTATAAGTAAAAGGTTGAAACACATTCAAGTTTTGCTCTGGTTCTGTAGTATAAGTAAAAGGTTGAAACACATTCAAGTTTTGCTTTCTTTTCCAGGAAATACAGGACAAATATAGAGAATTTTATCACTGGCTTGTTGTATAAAGAAATGTTTGACAGATCTGACCTTCCAGAACTTGACCTTGAGGTATACTATCAAGAGAAATAAAAGAGGGGTGTATTTCAATTAGAGCCAGCTAATAATATAAAAATAGAGAAGACCTGAAAATGGCATCACAACGTCTTTTTCTATACCAATTGTCAATTTGTGAAACACCCTGAGTGTAGAAATGTTAGACCACTGTAAACTAACTTATTTATGTGGAAACCTTATTTCACGTTAAGATCTTACCATTTGACTGCACTGTGATTCATTTTTTTGTGATTATAACCGAAAAAAAGTTCTACTGTATGTAACAGGGTATAATGTTCTTGACCTGTCTGTCAGTCCTGTTCTGGTCATCGCAACTCTGAAACCACACAACAGAATTTCATGAAACTTTGTACATATGGATATACTATGTAAATGTGCATTTTCTCGTTTGAATTGTTTTACATTTGTCATTTCTGGGCCTTTCATAGCTGACTATGCAATAGGGTTTTGTTCATTGTTGAAGGCCGTACAGAATTAACTATAGTTGTTAATTTTTATGTCACTTGGTCTCTTGTGGAGAGTTGTTTTATTGGCAATCATACCACATCTTCTTATTTTTATATCGACAGGAAATAATGATTCAATTGTTTTTCTAGGAGTTATGCCCCTTTGAACTTAGAATTGTGGCCTAAATAAACTACTGCAACAGTTTGTCACTGCAACTCTTCTGAATCCACACACCAGAATTTCATGAAATTTTGTAGATAATCAAGACATACTATGTAGATGTGCATATCTTCAGGAAATTAAGATTCAATTTTTTTTCTATGTGTTATGCCACTTTGAACTTAGGAATCGGTTGAGATTTTGTTTGCCCAGTGACAATGTGGGGCCATGGAGTATGTGAGCATGCTCACAAAGTTTCTTTAACTGTCTTGATGTATTTATATTTATAAGGGAGACCCAAAATTTACATATTTGCAACTGTTTATATTTGTATTATTTTTATACGACCGCAAAAAATTTTAACAGTCGTATATTGGTATGACATTGGCGTCGTCGTCGTCCGGAGACACATTGGTTTTCGCACTCTAACTTTTGTTTAAGTGAATGGATCTCTATGAAATTTTACCATAAGGTTCAATACCACAAAAGGAAGGTGGGGATTGATTTTGGGGGTTATGGTACCAACAGTTAAGGAATTAGGGGCCAAAAAGGGGCCAAAAATAAGCATTTTTGTAACTTTCAGACATAACTTGTGTGTTAGTGTATGGATCTCTCTGACATTGTACCACAAGGTTCCTTATCACAAAGGGAATGCTTGGATTGATTTTGGGGGTAATTGCCTCAAAATTTTAGGAATTAGGGGCCAAAAAAGGGGCAAAAAACAAGCATTTTTCTAGTTTCAGGACAATAACCTGTCTGTAAGTGTATGGATCTTTCTCAAATTGTACTTCAAGGTTCCATATCACAAAGGGAAAGCTGGAATTGAGTTTAAGGGGTAATTGCCCCAAAAAACGTTTAGGAATAAGGGGCCAAAAATAAGCATTTTTCTAGTTTCATGACTATAACTTGTGTTCAAGTGTATGGATCTCTCTGAAATTGTACTGCAAGGTACCATACCACAAAGGGAAGGCTGGGATTGATCATGGGGGTAATTGCCTCAAAATTTTAGGAATTAGGGGCCAAAAACAAGCATTTTTCTAGTTTCAGGACAATAACTTGTGTGTAAGTGTATGGATCTTTATGAAATTGTACTACAAGGTTCCATATCACAAAGGGAAAGCTGGGTTTGAGCTTGGGGGTAATTGCCCTAAACGTTAGGAATAAGGGGCCAAAAATAAGCATTTTTCTAGTTTCATGACTATAACTTGTGTTCAAGTGTATGGATCTCTCTGAAATTGTACTGCAAGGTACCATACCACAAAGGGAAGGCTGGGATTGATTATGGGGGTAATTGCCTCAAAATTTTAGGAATTTGGGGCCAAAAAGGGGCCAAAAAGGGGCCAAAAAACGCATTTTTCTAGTTTCCAGACAATAACTTGTGTTCAAGTGTATGGATCTCTCTGAAATTGTTCTGCAAGATACCATACCACAAAGGGAAGGCTGGGATTGAGTTTGGGGTTTGGGGGTGATGAATCATAAGGGGGTTCAAAAAATTTGGGGGGGGGGATTTTTTTTCCCCTTTTTTCCTTTTTTTTTTTTAATTTTCCATTTTAAATTGGTTATTTCTGATTTATATATAAAAGCAAATAATAATGATATGGTTTCAATAGGTAAATTACAAATTTTTTTAGTTCTTAGACCACATTCATTCTGTCAGAAACCTATGCTGTGTCAAATATTTAATCACAATCCAAATTCAGTGCTGTATCAAGCTTGAATGTTGTGTCCATACTTGCCCCAACTGTTCAGGGTTCGACCTCTGCGGTCGTATCAAGCTGCACCCAGCGGAGCATTTTATTCTCCTTGTGAAAATAAATTGCTTGTGAAAATGAGTTGTTTTACAGTATATTAAGCAAAGACAACAACAGATCAATCATCGATATCTCTACTTCTTGGATCTTTTACTTGTAACTGATACAGACTGACATAGTCAATCGTGGATCTATATGACAAATGTCATGATACTTTGAATTTTTTTTATAGCACCTGAAAATGGAGTATGTGGATCTTGTACCATTTAAACATGTTTATTGTGTATACATATGTATAACATATACATTTGGTTCATGTATACATGAATTGTGTATATTATGTGTATCATGTATGCGTGTGTATTGTTATATATATATGTGTCATGTAAACTTGTGTATTGTGAATACATGTGTAATGCCATTCTGTTATTTGTATGTTTTATACAACTGTTTATTTTATTTTGCAGCCTTCAACCTTGACCTGTGTAGATATCAATGAAAAACTAACAGCTCCTCAAAGAAATAAGTCCATGTGGTCATCACATGCCGTAAGTAACAGCCTTTTTAAAAGGTGAAAAAACAATAAACAAAACCCATACCAATAAGCATGCTATAAAAGGCCAACCCTAACTAAATGTAAAACAATTCATACTAGAAAACTAACGGCCTGATTTAGGGCTATTCCATTAAAATGTATGTGGGAGGGTAGGAAGGGACTTTCAAAATATCCCTACAACCAAGAACCATTTTTTAGATAATTTTGCATAATGGTAATAGACACATACTGAAATAGACCCATGACCCACATTCAATAATTAAACTTCCCTTCCTACCCTCCCACAGACATTTTAATGGAATAGCCCTTATGTACAAAATAAAAAAGTGAATGAAAAACAATTATACAACAACAAACGTCAACCCCTGAATTACAGGGTCCTGACTTGGGACTGTTGTTTGTTTAATATTAGTTACTTAAATCAGGCCATTAGTTGTCCTTTTTGAAAACTTTTGGTTTTCAATGCTCCATACCTGCCAACTTTTCAAAATCTCCATGGGGGATTTTAAGCGCAAGAGGACCTCATTCTCACTTGTCATAAGTGTTTTTAATCTACTACTATATTGTTTGAATGAGTATATCTGTGCTTAAATACCCTTTTAACTCATTTGAATGCCTGTTTTGAGGTGTTCAGTTCATATAATAAAGAATTTCAAAATTCAGGTGAACACCTCTCATGGGGGATATCCCCCATAAATCGGGATAGTTGGCAGGTCTGATGCTCATCAACTTTTGGCCTTCCATCTGTTTTGAGTTGAGCACCACTGTTGAGTCTAATGTAAATGTAAAGTCTGATGTATTTAATTATAAACCAGATACACATTCAACTTCCATTAATTGAATTGTTTCAATTTTTGCAATTAAGATAGATAACCATAGGATATGGGTATTGTACTAGAATATATATGGATAAGATACTTTTACTTAAAGATCCTGAAAACATCTTATATAAAACAGAAAGTCAAACAGTACTGTGCCAGATCTTTGGAACTAAAGGTGAACTCATGATCTTTATTCCGATCAGATTGCAATAATGATTTCACATATTTTAGCCACAATTCAAGCCATATTGTAATGGTTAATGTAATTTTTAATTTCAGATAATTGGTTGTTCCCATATCTATCAGTATTTCTTGATAGACACCCTAGGCTGGCCTCTTGTTAACTTCAATCCATCATTAACAGACAGCTGGGAAATACCAAAGTATCCTTCTTGTTATTCCTACATTGTATGTAGTTATTGGTAACTTCAAAGGTCAAGTATAAAATGTAGTTGTTTATATTAACAACGGAAGATAATAATCGCAGTTAAAATTGAAAGCAACAGTAAATCTACCTTTTACATAGGCCAAGCATAAAGAATACAAGTATCTCCTTGTTTTGCTCCTTCTCACTTTTTACTTTCAGGAGTTTTGAAAGTCTTTCATGATTTGAAAGTTTGATTGTTTTCCAGATAATATTTGAAACCATTTGACTATACATAGACAAAGAATGGTCTGATCAGTCCATTTGACCATACATAGACAAAGAATGGTCTGATCAGTCCATTTGACCATACATAGACAAAGAATGGTCTGATCAGTCCATTTGACTATACATAGACAAAGAATGGTCTGATTAGTCTATTTGAATATACATAGACAAAGAATGGTCTGATCAGTCTATTTGACTTTACATAGACAAAGAATGGTCTGATCAGTCCATTTGACCATACATAGACAAAGAATGGTCTGATCAGTCCATTTGACCATACATAGACAAAGAATGGTCTGATCAGTCCATTTGACTATACATAGACAAAGAATGGTCTGATCAGTCCATTTGACCATACATAGACAAAGAATGGTCTGATCAGTCCATTTGACCATACATAGACAAAGAATGGTCTGATCAGTCCATTTGACCATACATAGACAAAGAATGATCTGATCAGTCTTTTCTTTGCATTTCAGTTTTTTTCGGTTACTCACAAATAATTTCTAGCTAAATATTCAAATAACAAATTTAACATTAAGATAACCAGTTGAAACATAGATGAACAAATGATATTTTTTGTTTATTTTTATTTTGAATGCAGTACTGTAAATTCAGAAATTATTGCAATTTTGTCATTTTAGAATTAAATGCGATTTTAATTTTTGCGATTTTGAAAAAAAATCTATTTTATTCATATAAAAAATTTCAAAATGCGAGTTTGAATTATTGCGATTATAACCCTGTCGCATTTTTCGCAATAATAAAAACATTGCAATAGTTTCTGAATTTACAGTATTTCTGTATTATTAGTAAGTTTTCCTGAACCAGCAGATTTGAACAATGTTTCTTAGATCCAATACCATTTGATGAAGAAGAGTCTGTCAGAGCCAAACCTGGAAGGTAGGATCATAACTGTTTATATACAATAATTCTCTATAAAAATAAGATGTAGTATGATTGCCAATGCCTAAACAAACGATAACAAAAGATGTGGAACTAATAAGCACTGAATGGTCTTTCATCAATAAGCAAAATCCTTATCGTAAAGTATAAATGTATATAGCTATCAGTCTAAGACATAACAAAAAGTAAATAATAAAAACCATAAAATAAACAAAAAAATAAACAAAATAGACAATTTAGTCCAAAATATGAACAAGCTATTTCTATTTACATAATTGTCATTAGTTGCTGTATTACTGTAGATTTATTTAGGTGGGTACACATTTTTGTGAAGAAATAGAAAATTGAATTTTCATTGATATTTGAAGGTGGTTTTTGTCAAAGTCTGCATTAAAGCTTATTGAAAAATTTTGCTGTGTTGAAAATTTACATTTGTAGCTCACCTTTTCTATAAGATATACTAAAATAGGTATCACAATAAAATAACAAAGAATCCAGTAGTTAAAAAAATGTTTTATAAGTACAGGTGAGTGTTGATGTTAAATGACAACAATATTTTCAGCAAATATTCTGTTACTTTGAGAAAATAAAATAAGTTTAAACTAACAGTTTGTATTTGACAGTTGAATTTTTTGTTTCAGACCAAAATGCACCTGTTTTAATTATCATGATTATGGGGGTGGTCTTGACCGTAACAGTACAAGTATATTTTATTTTTCAGACCCAAAGCCACCTGCTTTAATTGTGGTGGTGATCATATGATCTCAGAATGCCCAGTTCCCAAAGATTTTCAAAGAATCAAGAAAAATAAATCAGAGTTTTTAGACAAGAGTGGTGGTCCAAGTCAGAAGCTAACAGGGTAAGTCAAAAATCAGGGTTCAGCATTTCATCTTTCTGTTAAATTTATTTATTATGATGTTGTCTGTTCTTAGACTTCTGTGAAATGGTTTATTTTTGTTGAAATTAAATTTTGCAACTTCTAGTGTCAAATCTGTTTGAAAGGTTTAATTTTTTGCACTTGGCTTGTCTTTCTTACATGTTAATATTTTTGAAGAGGATTGTGTCCATAACTACTTATTCAGAATGTCTGCTTAGCAAGCAGTTTATTTATGTGTTATAATGGGGTCTTCAATAGGAACAGGATTTGACTTGTGCATCCTACCTGTGTAGTAGTGAGGGATTAGTTGACATAAGTATTCTCAATTAAGATGTTACATATTTTCTTGATATTCATTTTTAGGTCCAGATATCACCGAGATGATGATCCAAGATTTGCTACATTCAAACCAGGACAAATTAGGTATTTATATAGTAGTACAAAGGATAATAGGGACCTTCAACAATTCTAATGCAATTACTTTGTATCAATGGTTCTGATTTGATGACAGAAACGTACAATTCTCCAGACATGGGGTAATTGAAATATGTAATTGTAATTGACTGTAATTAATTACAATTTCTCAAGTAATTAATGTGTAATTGAGCAGTATTGAATTACATAGCCATAATTGTCTGTAATTGACAATTACTTTTCAATTACAACTCAATTACATTTAAATTTGGGGTCAGAAAGGTTGAATCTTATGTTTTCTCAAAAAATGATTAAAAGCTTTGACCTTAGTAGATATAGTTAACTGACAAAGAAAAGCCTACACAATATACTCTCTGTAATTACACAACCATGGGAGCTTCTTTATTTTGTATTGAATGAACAAAAAATAAAAAAGAATAAAAAGATTGAAGAAACATGCCATAATTTGAGTTTAAAGGAAACCATTAGTAAGTCACCGTCTTGTACCTTAATTAGCTTGTTTCCTACATGTATATTCAGATAGATATTGTTAGACATTGATTTACATGTAACATCATCAACTTTAAAGGATTTAGTCAATCAACAAATATAACCTTTGGCTATTTGTGTTATTATAAACTATATAATGACTGTTTTTACAACAGTTATATTTGCTTGTTTAACAGGTGTTAATTTAGCCAATTAGAGAGAGATAATAAATTATACCTCTAGGTGCGTGATCTTTTTTAAATCAATTAATTGTGATTAAAATTAAAGTTTTTTTTTTAAATAGTCTGGCTTTCTAAATCATTTTTTTAGGAAAATAATTTTGATAAGCCGTGATCAAAATGAAATATCATTTCAAAAATATTAAAATAAGGGGCTCTCTTTTTGTATCATTTTCAATGAAATACATACAAATATAAAATTTTAATAGTTAATTACAACAAAATTTAATATTTTCAAAAATATTGAATAAGGCTTTTTATCATTTTGAGCATTAAATTAAACCAGACCTCTAGTCCTAACGATTCCTGATCGGCAAAGTATTATGTGCACTTCAGATTTAAGTATGTTTTTTCCCGTTACACACCAGATATCTAACTTTAACTCTTCTTTGATACTTGCTGAATTTGAAAATAGTTGCTGTAGATCTCATTTGTTATTACTATAAAGCATTATGTATGATACCTATGTGCATATCATAGAATAAATGCATGTTTTCAGTATTTTATCTAAATTTTCCTTTCAAAATTAATTGAAGTAATTAATTACATTTGCCAAGTAATTGGAAAGTAATTAATTACATTGGTAAAAAAAGTCAAATGTAATATGTAATTTACTTGAAGATTTTGTAATTGTAATTGAATGTAATTAATTACTTTCAAAAGTAATTGACCCCATGTCTGCAATTCTCTATCCCCCCTGTCTGTACCTAAGGAAGCTTACATTTTGAATTTCAGAATGTAATGGCATGTAATTTCTCCATTAATAAGCAAATAGACTCATATTTTGAAACTAGAAATCGTCTTTTTATCAAATATTACATTCTGAGGCAGCAAATATGCCACAAAATGCCGGGGTTTTATGTTTGATGTTGGAAGAATACCTGTGATGTGATCTAGTTTAGGAAAAAAGATAACATAATTTTTAGGAATTTTCGATTATTGAAAATTTTAGGCTGTTGTAATGATTAAAATTGAATTATGTATTTATTTTGCATTAGATAACTGTATTAAATTATATTTGAAGCTTTGCGGAAGTCCATCGGTAGATTTACTGTTGAAAAATACCTATTTATCTAGGTAAACATAATTTGTGAAAAGAAAACTACAGATGGACTTTTGAAAGCTGCAAATACAAAACAGTTATCTCTTAAATATTGGACAGTACAGAAGACAAACAACAAACATCCACACCCCCTATAAAAATTACTCAAACAACACAGGGTCCAGATACTGTTGATTGATGATTAGTCATGGATTTCATTGGTACAGGAAAACCACAAATTTAATTGCTCAACAAATTACAACTGTTCTATAGGAATATGTGCTGACAAAAGCAAAACCATCAAATCAAATCATGCATATACAAGTTTTCGTCAATCCATGGAAATGGTACCCATGAAAATAATAAATGCACAGTAGCCTGATGCAATAATTGCTACATTAAGACCATTTTCCTCAAGTAAACTAGAGTTATAATCAATATGTACTGTGAATTTGCATCAAACAACTGATATAAATTTCATATAATAGTTTTAACATAGATTGAAAAATAGGCATTTTGCAAATTGACCTATAGTTGTTGATTTCTATGTCATTTGATCTCTGGTGGAGAGTTCCCTAATTTGCAATCATACCACATCTTCTTATTTTTATATGAACACTGATGTTTAAATTGCATACAAATTCAATAACAGAAATGTCTTAAATAGATTGCTAGTATTTATTCTGAATAAAAGCTGCTGTTCCTACACATGTTTATATATATATATATGTTATTTTACAGTGACAAACTGAGAGAGGCTTTAGGTCTATCCCCTCAACAGATACCTCAGTATGTATATAGAATGAGGATGCTGGGTTACCCCCCAGGGTGGTTAGAGGAGGCAAAGAAACAAGGCTCTGGTCTCATGTTATTTGATAAACATGGGAAAGGTAATTAAAGGACTCATATTTAATGTATAATGTAAATTCAGAAATTATTGCGATTTTTGAAGAATTAATTAAAAATGCAAGATTAATTACCTGCATGTAAATATATGCAGCAGATATCAGAATGCGAGTTCTTATACGTCCGTTTACGGGACGTATTATGGTATACCGTTGAATGTCTAACCGTCCGTCTGTCCGTCCATTCGTCGTCAACATGTTGAACATTAATTCAAAAACGCTTTAACCAATATGCATGAAACTTTGGTGAATTGTTATATCTATTGACATGAGCTCCCTTTCGTTTTTTAAAAATTTCGGATTTACCATTTCCGAGTTTTGGGGTTTTATTCATTAAAAAAGGGGGGATTTTCCAGTTTTCGGACAATAACTCAAAAACAATTTCACCAATTTGAATGAAACTTTTGTGAATTGTTTATATTTATTGACATGAGCTCCCTTTCGTTTTTTTTATAAATTTCGGATTTACAGTTTCCCAGTTTTGGGGTTTTATTCATTAAAAAAGGTGGGATTTTCCAGTTTTCGGACAATAACTCAAAAATAGTTTCACCAATTTGCAAGAAACTTTGTTGAATTGTTTATTTCTATCGACATGAGCTCCCTTTTGATTTTTATAAATTTTAGACTATACGTTTCCGATTTATGGGGTTTTATTCATTACAAAAAGTGGGATTTTCCAGTTTTCGGACAATTATGAAAAAATGCTTTCAGCATTTTCAGCATTTTTAATGAAACTTTGGTAAATTGTTTATATCTATTTTTGTAAGCTCCCTTTTGATTTTTATAAATTTTCGATTTTATGTTTCCGAGTTATAAGATTTTATTTGTTTATAGTCTGACAACAGATTTACTAAGTATTGCGCAACAGCACAGTGTATTGCACAACAGCAAGAAATCTTAAATTGAATATAAATTCAATTCATATAACCAATTTCAAGTTCTTTGACTACATTTATTCAGAAACCTATAATATGTCAAATATTTAATTACAATCCAAATTCAGACCTGTATCAAGCTTGAATATTGTGTCCATTTTTGCCCCAACTTTTCAGGGTTGGACCTCTGCAGGCGTATCCAGCTGCGCTCAGCAAAGCAGTTTATTATTATTGCAATACTCAACCTATCCCAATATTGTATAAATAAAATCCTCGCATAAATTTCTGAAATTCTTTTAATATACTAACACTAAGTTAGACATAGGGCACACATATTTAATTTATAGTTCCTAAACTTACAAACAAAATTTGTTGACTGCATATTTTGCATGTGTACTACAGGCAAATACCCCTTACCCAATTATTGTGTGTACTTTTGAAAATTCAAATAAATGCAGCTTATCTCTACAATTTAATGGGCAAATTAACAACATTGAAGTTGATCTCTGATGGTTCTCTGCCAAGAATACAATATTTAGGAGTAAGAGTAAAAACTGCTCGTCTTCAAGACAAATAATGTGTGCTGGTAGGATGATATGTCCTCCTTCAGACTCTTGCCCTTTGAGATATCATGATTAAAAATCTGACTGAACCTGTTAGTCTAGTAGAAAGAAGGGTATATTCTTATCTAAATTTGAATAATTGATCTTCCTGAATATGCCTGTTATACTGCCATCGGACAACAGTCATCAATCAGTCATTCATGTAATTATATTTCGTGAACTTGAAATGTGAAAAACTGATCATACAAATGTTTGTTGGTAAGACATTTTCCTCCATGTTCAATTTTAACAACTTCTCAATCAATTTTATTGGTTTAGATAAACATAAAAGCTAAAATCTGGACAGCCAATCACATTCAACATTGTAAGTTTTTGTGTAGTTTGTTCAAGTATGAATGGTTACATGACATATATAACTTATTCATTGTAGAAGTGGACATAACAGGACAAAGTATGGAAGATGGAGAAGTCAACGAAGAAAGAGTTCAAGAACGTAAGGTCTATTTTAATTAAATGAATGTGTGGACGGTAGGGAGGAAGATTTATTTTTGGACATGGCTTGTGGGTCATTTATGTCCATTTGATGTATATAAAACTGTGTATTGAAGGTGTGTTTGTTGTGGGGAGATTTTTGGTTGTCCTTATCTAACTGCCCTCAGCCATTTTCATGGACTGAATTTACATCTCAAATTATTTCAGAGTTATTTCCCATTGATCAGTAATAATTTGTCTTGTTTCTTATTTTCTGGTTGATTTGATTTGATATATTGAACATTTTAATATAATTGTTACATGTTGTGTGCTTGCATATTTACTTATTAAGTTTAGTTTACCTCTGATAATATCAACATATAATAACGATTCCCGATGTATTTAAATTTTTATATGAAAAATGGGTATGGTATTGGAAACATTTCATTAAAAATGCAATAAATATTTTTAAGAATTATCATTATATAAAAAATGTTTTTTATTTCACATAAACTAAAGAAAGATATTGAAATCAAGTTTTACACACATTTAAACCTTTATTAAATCTATATGGTAAAAAAAATTCTGATGGACAAACTTCTGATGTGACTGTCCATGACCACATTAAAAACCTATCTTCTGTCATATATTAATGAATGATAAACAAAGCCAAGGATGTTGTTGCTGTTACATCTTCAGATTTAGGGTTGTTCCATAAAAACTTACATGGGACACAGGGATGGCACTTTGATATCTCCACCATGGATGGGTGTCATGTACATTAAAATGTCAATGAAATTCTAAATTTGCTTCTGTATGTAGTTACCACATTTTAAAAGTGCCTTCCCTTGGTACCATGTATGTTTATATAGAACAGATAATAAATGATTAGTTTTTGTCTCGCCTTGACAGAGTCAAAAAGCGAGATATAGGTATGCTGTTTCAGGCATCGGCGGCGGCGCGGCGGCGGCGGAAGCGTCAACAATGTATTAGTTTGTGATTAGGTTTATTTTATGGTGAACCACAAGTGTTAGGTCAATGATATTTGGTATGCAGCTGTATAAGCATTGGCACATATTATTTCCATGGAAATTATTTGGCCCTGCCCCCTCAGTCATGGTCTATTGACTTTGAAACTTTTGCTAAGTTTACAAGTATTAGTTTGTGATTAGGTCAGTTCAAGGGGAACCATTAGTGGTAGGCCAATGTTAATTGGTATCGAGTTGTATAAGCATTGGCACATCTCATTTCCATGGAGAATATTTGGCCCCGCCCCCTCAGTCATGGTATATTGACTTTGAAACTTTTGCTTAGTTTACATGTATTAGTTTGTGATTAGATCAGTTTAAGATGAACCGCTAATGTTGAGTCAATGATATTTGGTATGCAAATTTATTGGCATTTGCAAGTCCTGTTTCAATGGAGATTATATAGCCCAATCCCCTCAGCATGGTTCATTGACTTTGAAACTTTTACATAGTTTACAAGTTAATGTTTGTGTTTAGGTTTGTTTAAAGGGAACGACTTATGCTAATTCAATGGTATTTGGTATGCAGTTGTATTAGCACTGGCATATCTCATTTCTATGGAGATTGTTTAGCCATGTACCTTCAGTCATGGTTCATTGACTTTGAATATTTGCATAACTTAAATGTTAAAAGTATCGCTATGTTAATTTCAATATTTGCATATCAAAATTACAAAAAGGCGAGACATATCTCTGTGTTAACAGTTTATTATTAAAGGAGTAGGGGTAATAGGTCAATATCTTTTTTACCCCAAATTTTGTTCTTATTTTAGAGTTACCATACATGATCAAAAGTTTGCCGTAACATGACTATGGTAATAGAAGTTCTGGAAATAAAAACAAATAGCACCTGTAATGAGTTACAAAAGCAGCAAACCATTATGTATATTTTGTAAATAAATTTTATTTTTTTAGCATTTTTAGGATTGAAAAATGTATGGGCACACCAAAATAACAACCATATATTAAAATGAAGTTTTATAAATAGCTATAAAAAAGCTGCTCTAAAGAACTTTATTTTGCTGTGGCCAATGTTTCCACTTAAAAAATATGGATGGAAAACTGCATACAACTAGCCTTTGTTTTCATTTTTGTGAAAATGTACATACATCTTAACTTTTAAAATCTTGTTTCCCTATTTTATGAGCAAATTTGAAGTAGTTCTCAAAAGCTCAAAAAAGGAGGCCATTTTTTGGCCCCTGGAATTACAACAAATTCTTATGATGTAAGTTATTTACTAAATTATCTGAGAAATTAAATTAAAGAACATATTTGTCATTGGAACCATTATATAATGGGATCCTTATGTGATTAAATATTTTGTGATAAAACAAGGCAGCATTAACAGTAGATTAAGATGAATTATTGAGAAATGTTATTCATTTCAGAATTGCTTTGTTTTTCAGTTTAAAAAAAAATGCATTTTTTTCAAGATTTATTTCCCCTTGATCACTGATCATTCCACTATAAACACTTGTTTTTGAAGAAAAAATACACTTTTTAAATTTTATATGTTTTTTTTGGTGGACATGTTTACTGTACAGTGGTCAAAATCTTCAAATTGATGCATCTGAAGTAACTGCCTTAGTCATGCATCAGTAATAATATTTTACAGAATTCTGATAATGTACTTCAAAAAGATTCATAGATATACTACCCACACCTTCAAACACCCACCTACTCCCCTCAGACTTTTACATATATAAATTCTTTTACCTTATCATTATCTGTTCAGTTTCTGTTTTATAAGTTAGCAAAAATATCAAAATGACATAGTGACAACATCAAAGTCCAAGAAGAAAAAAAAACAGTTTTAATCAAAGATTATGAAATGTTTTTTTATAACAGCCCAGTTAGATCAAACAGAATTAATAGACTACCCAGGTTTTACTGTGAATTAAATATGTTTTATATTACAGCCCAAATAGATCCTAACAGAATTATGGACTACCCAGGTTTTACTGTAGAGTTATCTGAAGGCTTGGTTGATGTAAGTGTTGTTTATTCAGCTTTCTGTGACTTTAGAGTTCCCAGGTTTTTAGATATCACAAAGCTATATATATTAACTAAACAAGGGAGTTAAGCAACATATTTGGGTTTAAGTTTCGATTATAGTATTGAAGGATAAATCTTGTCACACACTTTCATTATTGTTGCTCTTTTACTTTCTGTTTGCAGAAGACTTATAAAAAATTCTGAAATTAAAATGCAGTTACATTAAATATCCATCACAATTTTCTAAGCAACTTTAACAGTACTTAGCTCTATGATGTTTGGTAACAAGGTTCATTAGGATATACTGTATGACATGTTTGGTACCAAGGTTCATCAGGATATACTATATGACATGTTTGGTACCAAGGTTCATCAGGATATACTATATGACATGTTTGGTACCAAGGTTCATCAGGATATACTATATGACATGTTTGGTACCAAGGTTCATCAGGATATACTATATGACATGTTTGGTACCAAGGTTCATCAGGATATACTATATGACATGTTTGGTACCAAGGTTCATCAGGATATACTGTATGACATGTTTGGTACCAAGGTTCATCAGGATATACTATATGACATGTTTGGTACCAAGGTTCATCAGGATATACTGTATGACATGTTTGGTACCAAGGTTCATCAGGATATACTATATGACATGTTTGGTACCAAGGTTCATCAGGATATACTATATGACATGTTTGGTACCAAGGTTCATCAGGATATACTGTATGACATGTTTGGTACCAAGGTTCATCAGGATATACTGTATGACATGTTTGGTACCAATGTTCATTAGGATATACTGTATGACATGTTTGCAGTTTCGTTTCTGATCTACTTTTAGTTTTCTGAATTTGTCTCTATCTTTTAAATATGTGTTACTTATTTCTCAGCAACTACAACTATGTTTTATGACATGTTTTAAGATGTGTTGCTTTTCTTCTTCCTGTTTACCAAACATCAGTTCCTGTTCAGTGTGATGGAACTTTTTTGATCAGTCATAAGTGGGGATATATATTTATAAGCAGAAGCTCAAACAATATTTTAATGCCCCTGCCGTAGCGGAGGGGGCATTAAGTTTTACCCTTGTCCGTCTGTACGTACGTCCGTAGGTTTCAAAATTGGTTTCCGTTCTCTAACTTGAGTTTGCCTCAACCAAATGTTATGAAACTTATACACAATGCTTATTACCACAAAACACAGATCAAGTTTGAATTTTGGTGGCGTCACTTTAACCGTTTTAGAGTTATGCCCCTTTAGAAATGGAAAAATTGCAAAATTTTTAGTTTCTGTTCACCAACTTAAGTTTGTCTCAACCAAATGTTATGAAACTTACACACAATGCTTATTACCACTAAATACAGATCAATTTTGAATTTTGGTAGAGCCACTCTAACCATTCTAGAGTGATGCCCCTTTATAAATGGAAAAATTGCAAAATTTGTAGTTTCCGTTCTCTAATTTAAGTTTGCCTCAACCAAATGTTATGAAACTTATACACAATGCTTATTATCACAAAATACAGATCAAGGGTGAATTTTGGTGGCGTCAATCAAACAGTTCTAGAGGAATGCCCCTTTATAGATAGAAAAATTGCAAAACTTTTAGTTTCCGTTCTCTTACTTAAGTTTGCCGCAACCAAATGTTATGAAACTTATAAACAATGCTTATTACCACAAAACACAGATCAAGTTTGAATTTTGGTAGCGTCACTCAAACCGCTCTAGAGTAATGCCCCTTTATAAATGGAAAAATTGCAAAATTTTTAGTTTCCGTTCTCTAACTTAAGTTTGCCTCAACCAAATGTTATGAGACTTACACACAATGCTTATTACCACAAAACTCAGATCAAGATCAAATTTGGGGAGCGTCACTTTTACCGTTCTGTAGTTATGTCCCTTTATAACTATATGATATGCAAGCAGGGGCATCATCTGTGTTCACATGTGGACACAATCCACATTTATTTCTTTCTTAGTTCGGTTGTTTCATAACTGAATATCTCCTTTTATTCATAATTATTAGAATATTTGTTTATCCTAACTCTCACACCATGCTCAAAGTACTTCGATTTAATAAATTTCATACTGTTTTGCATAGTTTGACTTTTATTATGTAGCAATAATCATTATCATTATATTTTTCTATGATAAACACAATCATATATTTACTTTGATATTTTTTCTTTATTTAGGAGCATGCAGAGTTAGGGTTCCCTCCATTACAGCCTCATCAACTTAAATCAGCTTTATTTCAAAGACAGGAAATGATGGTATTATTTATTTAATTATTGGAAAAAAACTCGCATTATGTTAGGAAACAACAGTAGTATGTTAAGTAGCTATAGGTCAATAATGACCTTTGATCCTATGTCATATAAATACAGTAATTATCATTTGAAGAAAAATGTTTAAAACCAACATGGAAATGCACTCAAAATGACCAGCTTGAACACACCATGTCATACCACCATAATAGCTCACACTGAAGATTGACTAAAAGGTTTGACTAATATTTGCCATTGTTTAGATTGAAGGGTGTGGACAATGTTTCCCAGGAGAAAATATACCTTTAAAACAAAAAAAAATGCCCAAAATTCGGTAAGCAGTATGATATTTTTGAAACAATTCACAATGTGTTAAACAAACAGTAGGCAGAAATATTTTTATTCAACTTTGCATAATTAAGATTATGAATGTATTGGCTCCGCTGTAAGATTGGGTAAGGCAAAGTTTTTAAAAAAAATATTGGGGATAAAATTTAGGTTTTCTTGGTTCAACTCCTGTATTTGCAAGAGACATACAAGCAGGTAGAAATGTGATGCTCTTTGAGTATTTCTATCCTGTTTCTATGAGGTTATATCCAAGACAATGTGTGGTTATTTCTTACATAAAAGTTAGAAGATGTGGTATGATTGCCAATGAGAAAGCTCTCCACAGAGACCAAATGGCATAGAAGTAAGCAACAATAGGTCTGACTACAGCCTTCAATAATGATCAAAACCCCTACCGCACAGCAAGCTATAAAAGGTCCAGAAATGACAAATGTTAAACAAACTGCAATGCAGTCAGGAGCCTGTAATTCAGTGGTTGTCTTGGTTACTGTCTGTCATATTCTTTTGCTTGTTGTTTTTATCTTAAATCAGACTGCAACATTGGTTTTCTATTTCAGATTATTTCACATTTTGTCATGTAGGGGCCTTTATTAGCTTACTATACGGTATGGGTTTTGCAGAGGCATGTACAGTGACCTGTTATTGCTAATTTCTTATGACTACATCTAAGTCATTTGATCTCTGGTTGATAGTTGTCTCATAGGCAATCATACCACACCTTAGTATTTTGATATTTCTGTGTTCCTGGCATCATCACTGGTACTGTAGTAAGATCATAATCTCTAGCCTTCTGTTTGATACTTACAGGATGAGATGAAAAAGAGAAAATTAGAACAGGACGAACAGGTTATAAAAAAGAAGATGAAAGTTGAAGAAGCTGAAATGGAAATAGAAGGTGAGAGTTATTCATTAAGTAAATGGATACTTAGAAAATTAGAATATATTTATTTTTGAAACTGTAGTCATGTTGCTGGGTATCTAGTTGGTACTCAGTGGGCTCCTTAGTGGAAATAATATTTTATGAATTTTACCAATTCTGGATACTTTTCTGTAGGAAAAGTTTATTTTGTTCAACAATTGAATTTGTTGTTTACTTATACCAAAGAAATTTACAAAAAAAATATGTAACCCACAAATGAAGATGAATATTCCAGTATGTCATTCCCAAAGCTTGGAAAACCTATAAATCTGAAACAAGCAGGATAGTTTAAATTTGGCAGTTTATAAATATGAATACAAGATGTTTGGAATGCTACAACGAGACAGAAATCAATAGAGATTCACCATTTACCTCAATGAGAGGAGGTACAATCCAATGAAGATGTGGGGTATATATGTTAATGAAGAAACAACTCCATGTAGTTTGCTGTGGTATCCAAGAATCTTGATCTGTTGTTGCAGGAATTTCCCTTTTATTAACTTTGTGATAAAAAATTTGTCCTATATTGTATGTGCTCGTACACCTCTTAACGCTGATTGAATATTTTGGGGATTCATGCTTCTTGGAAAGGAAATGAAATGCAAAATCCACATTGTTGAAATTTATGTCAAAGGCTTTACTTAGTAATATATTTGAACAAGTTTTGAAATAAGTCATGATCTCAATTTAGTTGTGGAGTTTTGCTCTTAGGAAGTGTAAATGATATTGAAAATCAACAATGTGAGCACTCTTGCACCTACATTTCTCATTGGAGAATTTATGTCAAAGGTTTATCCAGCAATATCTCAGAAAAATTGGATAATCCGTACTGATCAATTTCTTTGAAAGGAGTTATTGCCCTTTGGAATATAAGTGATATGTAAAATTCCAGTATATAGTTAAGGTTTTGGCTGATCTGTAGCAATCTTGTTCAACTTTTTTATATGTGAAATATTTTGTATATGCTTTGTTTACTGAATTAGTAGAAAAAGGTTAAAAACTTCTGTCAATGTTTTCTGGTTTGAGGTACACATTTCCCCTGATATTAATTCATTTACTATGATTTCTGTTTCCTTAACAGATGATGAGACTCATGCCGACAGAAATGGTGAATTTTTATCTCCGTACAGCAGCTCCCCTGTTGCAACAGAAGGAAGAAATAAAAAGCGTGTACCCCTACCTGGTAATCCTCCTTTACCATGTGACACACCTCCTGGGAAACCTCCTCTACCAATGGGAACACCTCCACCCACACCTGAGGAAATTTTACGTAGGAGAGGACGTACCCCATTATCAGGTCAACCTCCTTTACCTATCGCTACACCTCCAGGTAGGCCTCCATTGCCAGTAGGAACACCTCCCCCAACTCCAGACATGCCCAGTCCAATTCATCGCCAGCTGTCAGCACTTAGTGCTAAATCAGGAAGATCAACATCACCAACATTAGATGATTTAGAAAAACAATACCAGTTGATACAAGAAAAACTTTGTCAAGATGAGAATGTTGATGACATAGAATTACAGGTTGTCGACAGTATCGAAGAGGAGGAGGATGAGGAAGGAAGTCTTCAAGATTTATCAGGTGCCCAGTTAACACGTCAAGGATCAACTACATCTATACAGACATTTGGTGAATTAGGGACAGGAAGTCCATCTACTTCACTACCTGGTACCCCAGGGGTTAACCTGGATGACTCATTTACTAATCTCAACTCAGTGTGCTCAAAGAGTAATTCTATCTCAAAAGACTATGGTACTCCCATTTATATGAGAACAGTCAGTAAAGAAAAGCTGCCCACTGCTTCAAGTTTTGGGCAAGGTATAGAGGACCATATACCGTTTGAAAATTTGCCTGATTCGACAGGAAGTTATAGCAAAATGTCAAAATTGATAGACAAAATCAGGAGTAATATCAAACGGAAGAAAAGATGATGGATGCACAGTTATAGTGGTATCCAACTTGTCTCTACTCGTTTTACAAGAATTGTCAAATTCAGATAAACTTTTTATTTTGATAGATTAATATCCTTGCAAAAGCTGTATGCATAGATGAGTGAAAAATCTACAGTAAAAAGTGTCAAGTTAAGGATGTTCGCACTCTGTTTCAAAATAACAAGCTTTTTAAAAGACTGCTATAAATTGATAGTATATAATTAAAGAAACTAAAACAGCAGAAAAAATGAAGGGTCCGTGTGCTTGTTTTCAAGATATAAGCCATTGAAAATTTTGCGGGAAATAATTCCCTCTAGATTTTTCATACATTTAACATTGGCACCTTTTTTATTTCAAGAACTATGAAAAAATAACAATTATTTTACAAGATCTTGAAAAATGGCTTTTCAAACTATATGAAATAAAATGATGAAAAGAAAAGTAAAGGTTAGTGGGCAAAATTTTTATTGGCATTACATGGATAAAACCAGAGGATTCCGAATATCTAGCAAAAATTCCAAAACAAGAAGAGTGAACATCCTTAAGAAAAGTGCACATATCTTGGTTTTAGTTGATAGTTGTTTCATTTGTGGTCACACAGCATCTCACATTGATTTATAAAAGAAAGTTTATACTAATTTCTATACATTTGTCATTGCCTTTGTAGTTTTCATGCATTCAAACAGTTCTAATTAATAATTGTAATAAAAGAAAATAGACATTGCTTGAGAGAAAAACGTAAGAACAGATTTGAAGAACCTTCATTTTTGTGCAGACAGCTAGGTAAATTTAGAAGTATGTTTTTGATCTTTTCATAAAAACAGATAGGTGATGTTCCATTTAAGCATACATAGTACCCAGGAAAGGCACTTTCAAAATGGGGTAACCAGTATAGAGGCAAATTTAGAATTTCACTTACATTTTCACTTTACTTGACACAAACCACAGTCGAGGTGTCAAAGTGCATTTCCTGTGTACCATGTTTTCATGGAACAGCCCTAAATATATTTGACTGATTTTGCAATGGCTTCATTGTTTTCTTTCCTGAAAGAAGTTTAATTTTAAAATAGTTAAAACATAAAAAAGTAGAATGCAGTTCAGAACAAATTACAAGATCTGATTTGTGTGTGTGTAAATGGCAAAATAAAAAAAAAGCTTGGTAAAAGTGAGCTTTTTATTTTTAATTTTATTTTGTAAAATTACATCTTCATGATATTTCTTTTCATTCATGCTATAAATATCTAAATAACTTAAAATATAATTCTGTTCATAAAATGTCTATTAATGACCATCAACAATAACTTTGAAAGGGACTTGATCAAAATCTATATATTTGATATAAAACAAAATTTCCCAGTTAATATATTTTAAAGTCAGTTTAATTTAGAAATTAGATGATATAGATAAAAATTAGATTTGTAAATGAGACAGCAGCCAAACTACACAATACTGGACAACTATATATGTACAATGCATCATTGTTTAACATTCATAGCTCATTTTAAAATGATCGTATTGGTAAGTAAATGAATATTACACTGAAATTTTTATTGACATGAAATTTTCACATTTTTGTTTAATAATTGTCACAGCAAGAAGAGTGATAATTATTTTGTACTTTGATTTTATTACTATCAGACAATACTTATATTGCATGCTTTTTTCATTGACACTACTGGATAGATGGTACAACAATCATTTCATTCTACATATTTTATGATGTTATAGAAATGTTTCCTTAAACAATACGACACTATGGCACATTTGATGGCAGCTATATGTTGTACTGTAAACATAATGCATGAATTGTAAAGAACAATTTTCTATCTGTTTTTAGATAAAAATCTTTATTTTGTGATTTAACTGTTGGCGATAAATCCATCTTAAAAATACTGTAATCGAAGAAGCAATTGAATTCATTCTGTTTGTGTAGGAGACAGAAGTAAAAATCAAGAAAAAGGATGAAATAAAAGTATTTTTAACTGTTCCATGTGTTAGTTGCACTACAAAAGTCAAAAAGTCTGAAAAGACCAGTTTTTGTCTGAATTTGCATGAATTTTTACTCGACATTCTTAATTTGTCTGAATAATTTTTAAAAATTCTTGACATAGTATGAATTTGTCTAATAAGGTTCTTGATTTTTCTTGACAAGTGTCTTGACAGTATGAACATTGTCTTAAAATTTCTCGACACTTCCTGCATCATCTGATAAGAGTCTGGATTAGTCTCGACCAATTCTTGACTGTCTTAAATTTGTCTCGATCTGTCTTGACATATTCAAGATATTCTTAATAATGTCTGAATATGTCTCGACATATTCTTGACATTCTAAATAATGTCTGAATATGTCTCGACACATTCTTGACAGTCTTAAATATGTCTTGACACTATCTCAACATTATAAATTTCACCTGAAATGTGAACAGACTTATTCTGCACTGTTTATGACATTCTATTGCTGTTATATACTCCTTTTTTATTATGGCTAAACTAAACTTTGAAGAATCAAGGATTAATTTGGTATAGTAAGATACCCTTTTGGTGCAACTGAGTTGGAATACCCTGAATAATCCCCCATATAGTTTAATTTTGATTTATTTTTATTAAACATTTAAGTAATTGTTTTCCTTGGAATATAAGTCGAAGGTATTGACAAACAGCATTTAGATTTTTGCCGTTCGCAAAACTGCCAGTCAAATTTGCTTTACTAAAATAGGTGTCTTGTATCTCTTTTGGACCCCGTAATTCATCTTTTGGGTTTGTGTGGCTAAAAAAAGAGGGGGGGGGGCTTTCGTTTAGGTCAAAGAATTTGTTCCCATCTTGATTCAAAAACCTTATTCATTTTTAAGAACAACCCAAAAACATTTTTTATTCAAATTTGAGTGTTGAATTTTATAATTTTTATCAAAAATAAATATTTGTGATAACTCCTTCCTGAAAAGAATAAAATGTTTAGATCTATATTATGCATGTCTGTTTGAGAACCATTTCATAAGACCGATGATTTCTATAAAAATCATTGATGGGACCCATTATAAATACATTTTTTTTATTATTCCTGGAGTAGATAATAATTTTCTTTTAATCTTTGGGAATTATTCAATTTGTTTTTATGTTAAAATAATTAACTTCATAATTTTGATGAAGAAAATCCATTTCAATTCAATTTTTTTTCATCAAAATGATGATTTTCATTTTCATCTATCAACAAACTTTTTGAATTGTAGTGGCATGGTCGGTCAACTGATAAGTTGTATGGCTGATTACAGGTAAAGCAATAACTTCTATTTGACAGTTGCGTGTACTCTGGGTGTGGAATACCTTAATTTTATGGGGAACATCCTGTCCATGTGTAATACTTAATATATTCCAACAGATGACATTACACAAATTTTTCTTCTGTTAAATGAATGATTTGTATATCATCATAATTTTCTATTTATAAAAACCACATTTTGGTATAATAATTATTACCATATCAACATTGAATATTATGAATGTAGAATGAAATATGTCTGTAGTATGATTGGTTTGAATCATTTAATTTATAAGATTTAGGAATCAAAATTTGTAATTATTTAAAAACCCACATTGAAATTGTTTTATATCAACACACCCACATTTGAATTATTTTATACTTTAGATTTCATAGCCATATTTGCATTTGTAAAAATATTCATATACCCAAATTTTCAATTATTTTACATGCCCAACTTTTATTTTTGTTGTAAAGAAGTGTAACTTGAAATAACAGTATATCATATAAAGAGAAATAAAGATTAAAGTTATATTATGAATATTGGTCATGATTTGTAAAACTCAGACCTGTCAAGTAAATTTAAGACACGATTCAAAATGTTCAGAATATGTCAAGCCATACTGAGAAAAAATAAGAATGTCGAGAATATGTCGAGAAATTTCAAGACAGTATTCAAATGTCAAGAATTTGTCAAGAAATTTTAAGACCATATTCAGAATGTCGAGAATATGTCGAGTAAATTTCATACAAATTTAATATAAATGAGAATTTGTCAAGAAAAATTAAGACACAAGTCATACTTTTGGAGAATGTCGAGTAAAAGTTCATGCAAATTAAGACAAAAACTGGTCTTTTCAGACTTTTAGACTTTTGTAGTGTTGTGTACTCTCATATCTTAAAAAGTTATTGTTTAAATGTCATATATCTGACTATCTTTTTATACACCAGTTTATGGGAAGTATTATGATATATCGTTGTCCGTCCGTTCCTTGTCAACATGTGGGATAATAACTCAAAAACGCTTTAACCAATTTGCATGAAACTTTGGTGGATTGTTTATATCTATTGACGAGAGCTCCCTTTCATTTTTTATGAATTTTAGATTTTATGTTTCTGAGTTTGGGGTTTTATTGTCTCGCCTGCGACTTTCGTCACAGTATGCGAGACATAGGTATATTATCCTGCGGCGACAGGGGCTTAAACTATTTATTTCAAGCTTTATATTTCAGAAGGTAGAAGACCTGGATGCTTTATATCTTGTATGCAGATACCTTATGTTACGAAGTTTCTGTGAATTATATGTCCATTGTCCTTGACCTCATTTTCATGGTTCAGCGACTGCTTGAAAAAAAATTTGAGTTTTTTTGTCATGTGAATTTCTCACGTATTATGAGTAATAGGATAACTATATTTGGTATATGGGTCCCTTGCAACATTTGCATGTCTGTCAGACAGGGTACACCTGACCTCGACCTCATTTAATGGATCAGTGATCAAGGTTAAAGTTACGTGAAAAGGTCCATTTCTCAAATATTATAAGCAGTAGATCAACTATATTTGGTGTATGGAATGATTGTAAAGTGTACAAGTCTGTCTGGCAGGTGTCATCCGACATTGACCTCTTTTTCATGGTTCATTGGTAATACAAGTACTATAATCAATAGGTCAACTATATTTGGTGTATGGAATGATTGTAAAGTGTACAAGTCTGTCTTGCAGGTATCATCTGACCTTGACCTCATTTTCATGGTTCATTGGTCAATGTTAAGTTTTTGTGTTTTGGTCTGTTTTTCAAATACTAAACGCAATAGATCAGCTATATTTGGTGTATGGAATAATTGTAAGGTGCACATGTCTGTCTTGCAGGTAGCATCTGAACTTGACCTCATATTTATGGTTCATTGGTCAATGTTAAGTTTTTGTGTTTTGGTCTGTTTTTAATTACCATACGCAATAGATCAACTATATTTGGTGTTTAAAAAATTGTAAGTTGTATATGTATATGTCTGTCTGACACAATTCAATTGACCTTGACCTCATTGTCATAAATTTTGAAAAACGTTAATAGATATAAGAAGATGTGGTATTAGTGCCAATGAGACAACTCTCCATCCTAGTCACAATTAGTAAAAGTAAACCATTATAGGTCAAAGTACGGCCTTCAACACGGATCCTTGGCTCACACCGAACAGCGAGCTATAAAGGGCCCCAAAGTTTATGTAATGCTTTTAGTATACCCATATTTTTTAGACTTTCAACATAAAATCAATGGTTAGTAAAGCAGGCGAGACATTTCAGCGTGTGCACTCTTTTTTGTTCATTAAAAAAGGGGGATTTTCCAGTTTTCAGACAATAACTCAAAAATGCTTTGATCAGTTTTCATGAAACTTTGGTGAATTGTTTATATCTATTGACGTAAGATCCATTTCGATTTTTATAAATTTTAGATTTAACATTTCCAAGTTATGGGATTTTATTCATAACGTTTCCAAGTTATGGGATTTTATTCATAAAAAAAGGAGATTTTCCAATTTTTGGACAATAACTCAATAGTGCTTTGAGTAGTTTGGATGAAACTTTGTTGACTGGTTTATATCTATTAATAACCTCCCTTTAGTTTTTTTATAAATTTCTGATATGACATTGAGGAGTTATGGAACTTTATTCTTAAGAAAAGCGATGGGCATATCATGGCACAGCTCTTTATTATCACTGTCCTTCAAATGAAGTCTAAATGAAACTAGCAAAAACAACATAGAATTTACATACAACAGTCAGAACCTATAAAAAATTAATGCATCAAGAAGATTTTTCACATTAAAAAATCATGCATGTGAATTAAAGCAGAACACAGAATTTACTATTCTGGTGATGTCAAATTAGAGTCGACAGTATTTTAACAAGGTTCAAATATCATAAACTCATTAAAAAGTTACAAATTAAGATTAAAAACAAGAACTCTGGGAATAACATGAAATCAAAAAAGTGACAAGACTTGGTGCTTTGAAAGGATAAGGGTTTTCTGCAATGCATGCACTATCAGCTATGAATTCACACATAGTCAAATGTCACAGAATAGCTATAGGACACAATCGATACATTTACAGATCAGACAATTATTTTGATATCTTAAGATCTAAGACCGCAAAAACATGTTTACAGTGAGTTGAGACAAAAAAGGCACATCATATAAATCCACCAGTTGGTGATGGTTACCATTAACTTCAAAATTGATGTAGTTTTTCTTGGTATCTTTATTGGAGCAGTTTTTGTTTCAAGAGCACACGCTCTAAGGAAGTGTTTATTGTGTGAATAGACATGATCATAACATATACATTGTATGAACAGTGTTATAACTTTATATCTTATCTGGTCCGTTATTAAGGTCAATTTGAGGGGAATGTGTTTTTTTTATATATTGTATGTGTTAGTCTGACAAAATCATCATCCTTCACCTTTTATTCATGTTAAAGTAGTATAGTAAAAGTTTATGAACTGAGTTTTCAGCAAGTACAATGCCAATTTCCAACATTTTACACCTATCTCATGACTGACCTTCAAGTATGCTCAAGGTAAAAAATCTTAGAAGCCAAACACACATTTTATTTGGTAGCATGAAATGGCCTTAATAGAATTACTTTTGTCTATAGTCAACTTTACATGGTGAAGTAAAATCTTTAGATGAAAGCATAGTAATATTAAATATGGATCTGTTGCAAGAGTTATA